CCTGCCAGCTTCCCCATTGACTTTGCTTGTGGGAAGCTGGCAGGGAAGGTCACAAATGGCGGTCATGTGACTGTGGAATGCTGCAACCATCGTAAGGGTGAGCTGGTTGCCAAATGCCCAAATCACAATCACATGACTGCATGGGTGCTGGGACTGCTGGAGCTTCGATCATTTGTTCAACACCATTGTAACTTTTAACAGTTGCTGAATGAGTGGTTGTTAACTGAGGAGTACCTGTACATGGAGGCATGACATAATATACTATTGCATATTATATATATTCCCATTATGAGACCTTAAAGAGATTTGAAAGAAATGTTTAAACATTTATTTTTTTTTAGTGATCTGTTTTAGGAATAATGTGAGCTGAATGACTCAAGTGCATAACAACAAAGCTTTCTGCTTGTTAATTGTATCTAATGGAAAATGGGTATATAAACTCTCTGTCAATAGGAAACTATGCATATTTTCTGGTCAACATGATACTTTTAAACAAACCTTTGGAATGTATATATTTTTGCTAGGATTCTACACATTCTCAAGCGTTATGCATAATTGCCAGGAGTCCATACAACATGGCGTATTTCCAGCAGACCTTGAGGAAAATTCATAACTCAAAAGGGTTTGTTCAGGTAAGAGGAGTAATCTCCAAAATATTTTAACTTGTATTTTGTGTATTCTCTGAGTAATATTGCATTACTCAACTACATACTTTCCAAGAAATGGGCACTTGTTTTATTTCTAGTTTGTAAATAGGCAAGGTGCTGTTTGTTCAGCTTAAATATGAATCTAAGTATGCATCTTTAAAAAGAATTCTGGATGCCAGATATCTGATAAGACATATCAAGGTGTTTAACCAAATCAGTGCCACCTGGAATGTGAAACTTAACTCTCTATTATTATTAGGCATATTCCCAGCTTTTCTATATAACGACTAAGACTCTGTCCTATACATTGGGCCATAGTCCCTGGGCTGTCATGTTAAGAAGCACCAAGTGCAGTGCTATCTCATCAGTAGAAGTTTTCTTAGAACCCTTCATGTGTTTGTGGGTCACATTTGAGGGGAAAAAAAGGAGCATCCAAGCTTAATTATATGTTGGCAGGATTTTAATGACATAAACAGATCTCCAAAGGCATTGCTTAACAAAATATTTCTCAGAAGCAGGGAAGAAAGGCATATGCACGTAACATAGGATTCTAATTCTTTCATTCTGTGTCAAATAATATTTTAATTCATAATAAACTCTATTTATGTAGAATAACTGTCACAATGTCATGTGCTTGTCTCTTTGTATTAACTGACTTAGCTTTAAGCAAGCACAACATTTTGGCTTTTGTGCAACCTTGCACATATGCTAAAAAGGGACTACCTTTTTCAGTTGTGAAAGTCTTCAGCCTAATTGTCAGTGAAAGATTTCATTAATATATAACAAATTCGTTCTGTATTTTGTTAACAAATTTCAGATTGGAAAAAAGCCATTTCTACTGTACAAAACTATGTAGCTAAGGCTACATAGCTGGAGCGATCAATAGGTATTGAAAGGGAGAAAGGATTCAGAAAATTGGCACTGTAACATATTATTTTCTTGGTAGACCCCAAGACTTGCACTGGGTGCCAAAGAACAACCTGTAACAATATTGTTGAAATGAAAAACTGCACCAGATCTATCTAGTCAAGGAATATTTTCTGCATTAATAATTGACTTGATTTTTCTTCAGCAAACAATTTTCCATTTCATATTCTGCCCATCTTCCAAAGTCCTTTCTTGTGTTCTGATGGCAGTACCCTTGTGCACGCTCATTCGTTTTGTTTCATATATTGGTTTCAGCAGCTGGCAGATACTTGGCTTGGCAGCAGATTTCAGAAATGCATTAACCTATAGGTTCTTATTATAATATTCCATGCTCATCAGGGAATACTCTTCAACACTCTAGTTCATGTAGGAAGCTAGAGAATTGGGCATCAAGCTGAGCTCCATTGGGATATTATTCTTTTCATTCTTCTTAGCAAGACTTTTACAGAAGCAAGACCTATTGAATGACATAAAATCCATGTAGCAGAGCTGGAACAACATGTGTCTGAAACAATGAAGCTGCAGTTCAAGAGTGTTCAATCTTTTCTAAGTTGGTTCTTGCTAAACAAAATGGTTAGTTCTGCCCTGAAATAAGGTATAATCTATCCCAGTGTTTCTGAACCTTAGCAACTTTAAGATGTGTGGACTTCAACCCCCAGAAGTCCCCAGCCAGCCATGCTGCTGAAATTCTGGGA